ATTAGATTAGATTAGATTAGATTAGATTAGATTAGATTAGATTAGATTAGATTAGATACAATATTACAACAGCCGCAAAGAATAGCAAACAAGGATAAGATAAGATACGATGCGATAAGATACATCATAGACAACAAGGGCATCGCCTACAACATCAACAACGGAAAGTTCATTTCTCCTTATGCAGGGAAGGTGGGGGATGAGATTAGATTAGATTTGATCAGATCAGATAAGATTAACAAAACAGATACGTTAAGTTGTGATAAGATAAGCTACAGTAGCAAGAAAAGAAAAGTTAAGATAAGATAAGATAGAGGCAAATAAATAGCAACTATGGGAAGTTGATCGCATCCTGTGTTTGACATATTATGACGGTAAGATAAGATAAATTAAGATGAGATAAGATTTATAACATAACATACCATTACATAACATAACATAATCGAAAAACACCTACTTTCATTCAAAAAGATAGTTAAAGTCAAATTCAATTTCAAAATCTAGCATGAAAACTCAAACAACCTCAAAACCAAATTTAAACTCCCAACTTACAGTCTAAACTCAATTCCAACTCAAAACTCAAATTTGCCTCTACTTTCAGTATTTCTTCGCCCTGACTGTGAGATCCTTCCAGACCATGGACAGTGGCTATGTGGAGGGTATTATAATGAGGGACGGCAAACCAGAGGTGAGTCATTGTCGTTATCAGTATCGTCATCACCACCATCTTTGTCGCCATCGTCGTCTTTGTTGTCATCATCATCATCATCATCATCATCATCATCATCATCATCATCATCATCATCATCATCATCATCATCATCATCATCATCCTCCTCCTCTAAGCTGGCGATAAAAAAAAGACAGCAGTTTTTGATTGTATATTATAAAATCTAGTCTTTTGAGTCTTTACGCTTTTTCTGTCGCATACCTACCTTCTGTCTATCTATTCATTCGCTCGATCTGTCCATCTCCATCCACAAACCCGTACCTACTCTGCCTATCTATTCATCCATCTACCTACTTACCTTCTGTCTATCTATTCATCCATCCATATACCTCCCCTCTGTCTATCTATTTATATCTTTGCTCTGTTCACCCCAAGGCCCGTAACTCAGTGTTCTTAGATCGTTGTTGAGACAACTTTGACTCTCTGTTCATCCATCTGTTCACTCTCCTCTGCCCATCTATATTCATCCGCTTTATCCATCCTTCCATTATTCCTCCATTCTGTCCATCTATTTAAACGTCCCTTCTGTCTACCTATTCATCCATCTATATAGCCCCCTCCCCCCCCCCCCCCCCCTCTGTCTATCTATTTATACCTCCACTCTGTACATTCACGGACACTGATCAAGACAACTCTTTTCATTCATCTATAATATACCTTCCCTCAATGTATCTTTTCATCGACCTTTTTTAAAACCTGATCTCCGTCTATCTATTCATACCTTCCCTCTGTCTATCTATTCATACACTCCCTCTGTTTATCTATTTATACCTTCCCTCTGTCTATCTATACATACATTCACTCTCTCTATCTATTCATACCTTCCCTCTGTCTATCTATTCATACATTCACTCTGTTTATCTATTCATACCTTCCCTCTGTCTATCTATTCATACCTTCCCTCTGTCTATCCATTCATACCTTCCCTCTGTCTGTCTATTACTATCCCCAGGCCCGTACCTCCGTATTCCTTGACTACAACGGTGACAACATTATCTATTTATTGATTCCTTCACTCTGTCTATCTATTCATCCATCTATATTTCTCTCCTCTGTCTATCCCCAGGCCCGTACCTCCGTATTCCTTGACCACGATGGTGATAACTATCAGTCTGCCAGCACTGACGTTGTGCTAACCCTAGCCCAGGGTGAGAAGGTGAACGTTCAACTGCGAACCACCAGCTCCGGGGAATTTGTCGGAGAGGACTACACCATCTTCTCCGGCTTCTTCCTCTACCCTTAGACGGATAGAGAGAAGGAGGGAGTGAAGGAAGGATAGGTGAAGGAGGGAGGATTTCTTCCTCTATCTAACCTTACACGAATAGAGAGAAGGAGGGAGTGAAAGAGGGATAGATGAAGGAGGGAGAACTTCTTCCTCTATCTACCCTTAGACGAATAGAGAGAAGGAGGGAGTGAAAGAGGGATAGATGAAGGAGGGAGAACTTCTTCTTCTACTCATATATTCTTCCACACTCACAAGGATGGAGTGATTGAGTGAGAGATAAAGGAGGAAGAAGGAGAAAGAGGATGAGATTTGTTTGATGGTGCTGGATAAGGAGAATAATCATGCCACGTTGTGTCATGTCACGCCGTGCACGCCATGTCAGGTGACCACGTTGTCGTGGCTGTGTAGTGGTGTTAAGATGTTATGCCACGTGAAAGCCACGTCTCAAGATTGGCTAATTGACCACGCCATCTGCTAAAATATGGTTTCTATGGTCTTCTTAAAATAATTTTTATAAAATATTATTGTGTCAGAACAAAATAATTCTGTTAGTCTGAGAACAACTCTATTATGTGTGTATTATTTTAGTTGCTGTTAAATACAGCTTCTCAAAACAATTTGAGTTGAAAATTGAAAAAATAATGACGTCATTAAAAGTTTTGATAGTTATTCGGTCTGTTTTGTTTTGTTTTATTTTGTTGTTTCTTACTTAGAACTTTCGTTCTTCTGCAGAACATTGTCTTTCTCCTGAGTGACTTATAATATTTGCACGTGTGTAATTTCTCTTTTTTTAAACTTTTTATTTGTGCGAGTATTTTGTATTCAGATGTATCTTTCGCGTTATGTTCTATTTTTGTATCAAGATTTCTCTCCGTGTCTTGTTTTATAATGATAATATTATAAAGAGAATAGAGTTTATTTCTATACAGCGTTTTTTGCCATACTCTGTGAAAACTGTTTTATATAATTTCTACCAAATCTAATGTTACGCTTGATAGCTTTTTCTTTTTTTAATAAACATGTTTCTTTGTATTTCCAACATACTTGGTTGAGTTCATATTTGTATAGCATTATACAATGTTATTGTATAACTTTAAAAAAAAAATCCCAACAACATTTTTGTGCACTTATCAGTTATTCTTTCATTGACTTTTCATCCGTTTGTATGTCTGTCTGCCTGCCTGTCTTCCTCTCTGTCAGTCAGTCCATAGGTTGTCTTTCTGTATGTCTATAAATATCTATCTGTCTGTCTGTCAGATCAATCCTCTCCCCTTCTCCTAGTCCCCCATTCTCTCTTACTTTTATTTCTTTTCTTGTTTCTTCCTTTACTTTCCTCCTATCTATCCTGTCCTCCCCCTTATCTTCCTCCCCCTTTTCTTCTCCTCTTCATCCTATTTTAAAATTATAATAAACATGGGCATGTACTTATGAAGCAATACATTGTAGAAGACAGCTTATGACGAATATAAGAAAGCGACAGGCAAATTTCTTCGGACTCACAATGCGGAAAGAAGCATTGCAGAATATTGTAACAACAGGCAAGTTTGATGGAAAGAGAGGCAGAGGCAGACAGAGGGAAAAGATACTGTACAAGTTGACAACATTGCTGGGAGCAGCAAGAACAACAGACACCATTGCTGCAGGGCAAGACAGAGTGAAGTGGAGGTCCATGATTGCCTACGCCAGTCAGCAAGGCACCGGATGATGATG